AAAAAAAAAAAAAAAAAAAAAAAAACAAAACAAAGAAATGGAGGACAATAGAGCAGAAAGAGTTTTCTACACAAAGAATAAAAAGCAAACTGATAAATACAGAATATTAAATTTAGAAAACTCACAAAAGACAGTATCTTTAAAAGAGTAAAAGATGAGCCACTGACTGAAAGAAAACATTTGCAAAACTTAAAGCTATCCAGGGTAAGTATCCAGAATATACATGTATACATATACAAGTTTCCATAAGTCAATAAGAAATAGAATAACAGAAAAATTAACAAGGGATATAAACAGGTAATTTACAGAAGAGAAATGCTAGATGTATGGTCGATAAACATGAGAAATATGCTTCCTTCCATTAGTAATCATCAAAGTGAAAGAAACAAGACATCATATTCACCCACTGAATTTACTTTTTTTTTTTTTTTTGAGACAAGCGTCTCATGCTGTCACCCTGGGTAGAATGTCATGGCATCATAGCTCACAGCAACCTCTAACTCTTGGGCTTAAGTGAGTCTCTTGCCTCATCCTCCAAAGTAGCTAGGACTACAGGGGCCTGCCATAATGCCTGGCTATTTTGTTATTATTGTTGTCATTGCTGTTTGGTAGGCCCAGGCCAGGTTTGAACCCACTAGCCTCGATGTATGTGGCCGGCGTCCTACCCACTGAGCTAAGGGCACCGCCCTGAATTTACAAATGTTAAAGTTTGACAGTGCCAAACATTAACAAAGATGCTGAGTTCTGAAAACTCTTAAAATCTGCTTTGGGAGTAAAAACTAATGCTCTTGCTTTGAAGAGCAATTTGGTTGGTAATACCGAGCAAAATGTAACTCATATATTTCTTGACCCAACAATTTTATTTCTACCATGTTAGAAAAACACTTGCATGTGTATATGAAAAGATATGTACACAAAGTTTGCTGCAGCATCTTTGTAACCCCTAAATTTGGAAACAATGTAAATGCCTATCAGTAGGAAAATGAACAAATAAAGTGTGGTTTACTGATTCAATGGAGATGAATGAATTAGAACACAAACAAATATCAACAGTGTTCAGTGAGAACAGAGTGAATATGGTAGAGAGAATAAGAATATTCAAGAATATGTAAATGCAAAACAGTACTATATGTTGGGCTCTGCACCTGAGGTGCAGGTGGCTAAGGTGCCAGCCACATACACCTGAGCTGGCGGGTTCGAATCCAGCCTTGGCCCGCCAAACAACGATGGCTGCAACCAAAAAATAGCCAGGCAGTGTGGTGGGCGACTCACTTGAGCCCAGGAGTTGGAGGTTGCTGTGAGCCGTGATACCACAATACTCCACCCAAGGGGCGACAGCTTGAGGCTCTGTCTCAAGAAAATAAAAATAAAATACTATATGTTGTTTAGGGATATATCTATTGGTCTTTTTTTTTATTTCTTATAGCATAACTGTGTACATTAATGTAATCATGGGGTCAGGGATATATCTATATAACAAAAATATGAGATCATATGGGAATAACAATATTTAAACTCAGAAGAGTAGTTATTTCGAAAGATATAAAGGGAACAACAGGGCTTCAACTCTTAATCTAGGTGGACGTTACACAGAAATTTGTTATAATGTTCTCTATGCCTTTCTGAATATCTAAAATATTTCATAATAAAAGCAAAGGTTAAGAAGATGGCTAAAGGGTCAAAGATTTAGAGACAAAAAATCCTATGACAATTTCTCTTGCAGCAGTTTCCATGAAATAGCCATTACAAAACATTACAATAGATAAATTGAAAAGAGAAATGATAATTGAACCTGAGATTGTAAAATGAAGCTGGGAAAAATTGAAAATAGAGGCAAGAAAACTAAAGATTTGCAGAATGCAGAAAGAGTCTTGAAAAGAGATTTGATTTCTGTACAGAGACCAGATGCATCTGATGCTTAAGCGAAAATTAGCTTTTGACTGGCAAACCTAAGGATACTAGAGACAGAGGGAAAATCAAGTTAATCCCTCATGAAAGCAAGACTTCTCTTCCCTCCAACTCCAAAAGGACTTTTGCAAGGGCTCAGTGAAAGAAAGGGGTGACAGAGGGAGAGGTGAAATCAGGTTTAGTGCAGGCGCTGTACTATGAACCTTCCCCTGGAAAGGCCTTGAGCACTCTTCTCTACATATTAATAGGTACCACCTGCCTTGCTCTCACCTGAACTGGGGTCTGCTGGGCCTTCTTTCTCTGTCATCCATGGTTCTTCTCCTTTCTCCAAATGAGAAATCACACTAGGTTTAGAAAGTTGATATCCTGCTTACGGAGTAAAGAAAGAGTGTGAATGTTATGTTGATGTCAAAGAACCATCCCCAGAATTTAGTTCAAGTCTTCTGGTATTCAGGGTCACTCAAAGTTAAAATGGGTGGGTTTTTCTATTTTACCTCTATGTGGTGAAGCTGTTGCCCAAGGAAGGTGAAATGTGCTGACTTGGATTTCAAAGGATTAAGACATCTCTAACACAGAACACAAGGCCAAGCTTCAAGAAATCCACAGCATCAATAATTTAAAATAATGACTTTCCTGCCAGGCATAGTGGCTCATGCCTCTAATCCTAGCATTTTGGAAGACTGAAGCAGGTAGATCTCATAAGCTCAAGAGTTTGAGACCAGCCTGAGCAATAGCAAGACCCGGTCTCTAAAAACGGCCAGTCGTTGTGGCAGGTGCCTATAGTCCCAGCTACTTGGGAGGTTGAAGCAAGAGGATTGCTTAAACCCAAGATTTTGAAGTTGCTATGAGCTCTAACACCACAGCACTCTACCAAGGGCAACAAAGCAAGACTCTCTCAAAAAAAATAAAAAAAGACTTTCCTGAAATAGGTAGGCTTCTGAATATATGAACAGCTCCTTCTTACCTACTGACACCAAGTTCCTGTAGTTCTCCAGCATCACCTCTCGGTACAGATCCTGGTGAGCAGGGGCCAGTTGCCCCCACTCATCCTGGCTGAAGTCAATAGATATGTCGTTGAAGGTCAACAGTTCCTAGAATATCAAATACATTCCTTTTCAGACAAAGACCACCTCTGTCAAGGTCCCAGGAGGTTTGACAGTATTCTAAATTCTAAGAGATTCTAAACTAGTTTTACCACTCTGGAGCTGTTTGGAGAGTCTCTGGAGATAACTATAAATAATTAAATATAGTAGGATTAATGGACATGCGTGCCTTGGAAAAAATTAGGAAGAATAAGGAGAACAGGGGGAGCCACGGTGAGGATAGAAATAATCTCTTACATAAGGTGGTTGGGAGAGGTCCCTCTAAAAGGGTGATATTTGACCAGAGACATAAACTGATTGAGGGAAACAGCCATGTGCAGATCTGAGGAACGGCATTCTAGGCAGGTGGAAAGTGCCTGAGGTTAGAGCATTCTTGGCTTGTTTGAGGAACAACAAGGTGAACAAAATCCCTAAAGGCAGCTTAGTTAATGGGAGAGTGGAAGGAGATGAGATCAGAGAGGTAGATTGGAGGGAGGGGACAGGCATAAAGGCCTTTACTCTCTCCCCAGCACTTATGGTCACAAACACCTATGCATTCTTGCTGAGCTTGAATTCTGAGGTCCCACTGGAGCTTAATTCAAAACCAAACAAAACTGTTCAATCCCAAGTTTTGGCACCAATCAACCAACCAACCAAGAAAAAGAAAAAGAACAAAACTGGAACTGTGGTCTAATTCTTTCCTAGTTCAAACACTATAAAGATAAAAGAGATAAGCTCTCAGTATTGATGTCATGGATAGGGTGACCAGATTTTAACATTTGTAAAGCGGGACAGCATGGCTGGGGGGTGGGGCAGGGGACGGGGCAGGGCAGGGCCTGACAACAATGCAAACTTTGATAAGCAGTTCTCGAAAATCACTTCTCAACAAGTATTTGTTATTACTATAGTTTAACATAAAATTAACAAAAATAATATAAAACTCATATTCTGGCGAAATAGCCACATGGCAGCCGAAAACTGTATATTCCCTTCCTGTTCTCCCGCCTGTTCGTGCATTCTTTCCAAAAAACGGGACTTTCTTAAAACGCCATGGGACGCGGGACAAATCATTAAAAAGCAGGACTGTCCCCGCCAAAAGCGGGACGTCTGGTCACCCTAGTCATGGGACACTGGCAGTGGGTTAATTAGAAGTAAATTCAACCAAATTAAAGCCACATCACAGCCAGACTTAGTCACGGCTCCAAGAAGAACATGAATACTCAGCCTTCACTTTAACCAGACTAAGAAGAAAGCTTTGCGTCTCTTGAAAACAGAAAAAAACAAACAAAATAAACTACATACATATACACTTTATATACAATATCTGAACTACAACAAAAAAGTATTATATAAATTAAAAAATATAACCTATAATCAAGAAAATAAAAAAAAAACAATATAAGCAGACCAATAGGTGACCAAGTCATTGGAATTAGCAGACAAGAAACTTAAAGCAACTATTAAAATATACAATACTTACAATAAAATATGAATAGGGTAAAGAGATAGAGATAACTGAGAGATATAGAGATACTAAAAAAGAACTACCGTTGGCCCTTGAACAACTCAAGGCTTAGGGGTGCCAATCTCCTGAAAACCCACATAACTTTTCACTTCCCCCCAAACTCAACAACTCATAGTCTGTTTACTGGAGGCCTTACCAATAAGAGTCAATGAACACATACTTTGTATGTTATATGTATTCTGTGCTGTATTCTTACAATAAAGAAAAGAAAATGTTATTAAGGAAATCATAAGCAAGAGAAAATACATTTATAGTACTGTACAATATTTATTGATACTGTAAGTTTACGTCATCTGCTTATCAGATGAATCTCTGAAATAGCAGGCAACCACAGCTGCAGACCTCCAAATATGTTACATATCAAGCAACTCAATTTTTTCTTTCTTTCTTTTTTTTTGAGACTGAGTCTCACATCTCACTCAGTTGCCCTAGATCAGGGGTCCTCAAACTACGGCCCACGGGCCACATGCAGCCTGCCTAGGACATTTGTACAGCCCACTGGGTGTTTTTGCTGCCACTGCCTGTCCTGCTTAGCAGCTGACTCATCCCAGGGCCCGCAGTCTGGCCCTCCAACAGTCTGAGGGACAGTGAACTGGCCCCTTGTTTTACAAGTTTGAGGACCCCTGCATAGAGTGTCATGGTGTTATAACTCACAGCAACCTTAAACTCTTGGGCTCATGCAATCCCCTTGCCTCAGCCTCCTGAGTAGCTGGGACTATAGGCATGTGCCCTACACCCAACTAGATTTTCTATTTTTAGACGAGATGGGGTCTTGATCTTGTGCAGGGGACAGAGTAGAGTATTGAGGGTAAAGGGGCATGAGGGAACTTACTGAAATAGTGAAATGTTCTACATCTTGATTTGGTTACATGGCATATACAAATGTCAAAATAGAACCAGACATGAATGTAACTGTATTTATGTATGTAAATTATACCTCAATTTTGGCCAGGCCTGGTAGCTCACACTTTTAATCCTAGCACTCTGGGAGGATTAGGCAGATGTATCTCTGGAGCTCAGGAGTTGGAGAACAGCCTGAGCAAGAACAAGTCCCCATCTCTAAAAACAGCTGGGCATTGTGGCATGTACCCATAGTCCCAACTACTCAGGAGGCTCAGGCAAGGGGATCGCTTGAGCTCAAGCATCTGAGTTGCTATGACCTGGCACTCTACCAAAGGCCATGAAGTAAGACTCTGTCTCATGAAAAAAAAAATTATACCTCAATTTTAGAAAACTTAATCCTTTCCCAGTGCTTAGAATCCCACAACTTTATGGCAAAAGTCAAGAAGTGAGGAATTCCATGGGCGGTGCCTGTGGCTCAGTGAATAGGGCACCAGCCTCATCTACCTAGGGTGGCAGGTTCAAACCCAGCCCCTGCCAAACTGCAACAAAAAATAGCCAGACATTGTGGTGGGTGCCTGTGGTCCCAGCTACTTGGGAGGCTGAGGCAGGAGAACCGCCCAAGCCCAGGAGTTGGAGGTTGCTGTGAGCTGTGTGATGCCACAGCACTCTACTGAGGGCAATAAAGTGAGACTCTGTCTCTACAAAAAAAAAAGAGAAGAAGTGAGGAATTCCAGATAAGTAGAATATAAAGATAAATCTTTAAATAATTAGACTTTTATTTTTATTTCTTCCATATTACTATAAATAACTCTGGAATGCATTTCAATCCTAGAAGGTAGATATTAGCATCTGAACTTCTTAGTTGAGGAAACTCAAATTTATTTATTTATTTATTCTTTTTGAGACACAGCCTCAGTTTGTTGCCCTCGGTAGAGTGCCATGGCATCACAGCTCACAGCAACCTCCAGCTCCTGGGCCTTGCCTCAGCCTCCCAAGTAGCTGGGACTACAGGTGTCTACCACAAACACTCAGCTATTTTTTTGTTGCAGTTTGGCCAGGGCTGGGTTTGAACCCATCACCCTCAGTATATGGGGCTGGCACCCTACTCACTGAGTCACAGGCACTGCCCAGAAACTGAGATTTTAAACAGCTAAAAAAAAAAAAAATAGTCCAGGTCACCAATCAAGTAATGAAAAGAGATAAAATCAAATCCTATACTATCAAATTTCAGAACCCAAATTCTTTCTTTCTTTTCTTTTTTTTTTAGACAGAGTTTCACTTATTAACCCTTGGTAGAGTGCCATGAAGTCACAGCTCACAGCAACCTCCAACTCCTTGGGCTTAGGCGATTCTCTTGCCTCAGCCTCCCGAGTAGCTGGGACTACAGGCGCCTGCTACAACGCCTGGCTATTTTTTTGTTGCAGTTTGGCCAGTGCTGGGTTTGAACCCACCACCCTCAGTAAATGGGGCCAGCACCCTACTCACTGAGCCACAGGTGCCGCCCGAGAACCCAAATTCTTTTCACTTAAAAGAGCGCAATCCTTAAGATCTCATCTTTAAAAGTCTCTCTTTTGGGTGGGGCTCAGTGGCTCACACTTATATTCCTATCCCCTAGGAGGCTGAGGTGGGTGGATCACCTGTGCTCAGGAGTTCTGAGCAAGATCTGACTTTGTGGCCAGTGCCTGTAGGCTTAACTACTCAGGAGGGTGAGGCCAGAGAATCTCAAGAGCTTGAGGTTGCTTTGAGCCACAGCAACCTACCCATGGGGAAAGAGTGAGATTTTAGGTAATAAATAAATAATAAAAGTGTCTCTTTTGCATTTATTCTATAGTTTTCTTCTGTTTCACCTGTTTCTAGCAGTTGGTAAGGACTACCCATTTCTAACACCCTGTTCGGTTTTTTGAGATAGAGTCTCATTTTGTCACCCTCGGTAGAGTGCTGTAATGTCACAGCTCACAGCAACCTCCAACTCTTGGGCTTACGTGAGTCTTGCCTCTGCCTCCCAAGTAGCTGACACTACAGGTGCCTGCCATAACGTCCAACTATTTTTTTAGAGACAAGGTCTCACTCTGGGTCAGGCTGGACTCAAACCTGTGAGCCCAGGAAATCCGCCTGCCTCAGCCTCCCAGGCATGACCCATGGCGCCCAGCCTTGATACCCTGTTTTAACTGCTCCCAGCAGCTGCTCCTGCTTTTCGGCCCACCCTGTAGTATGTGTACTCTGTGTGACCTATTTCTTCTCTGTTCACTTCTACTTTGGCTGCGGTTTGACTTGCATTCTCAATACTATACTAAAAGTTGCCTATTGAAATTCAGTGGTATGTGTACATGACTAAGAATGTTAGAATTTTCTTCTTATGCATAGTTTATTGAGTACTGAGTATCTTAGACCACAAGTGGTATCTGTTGGTTTTTAGGGGCTAGAATTATATCACTCATTTTGCTGTCTCTGCAGAAATTTACACAAATATTAGGTCTAGATGTTGGTTAGAAACAAGAATTAGGTATAGGGGGTGGGACCTGTGGCTCAAGGAGTAGGGTGCCGGCCCCATATACTGGAGGTGGTGGGTTCAAACCCATCACCAGCCAACAACTGCCAAAAAAAAAAAAAGCTATATAGAAAAAAAAAATACATAAAAAAAAAAAAAAAGAATTAGGTGTAGGGAGACCACTAAGAGCAAGGAAACTGCCAGCACTGAAGCCCAACTTTCTACACAAGAGCAAATGGCACGGAGCTCCCAAGTTGAATGTTAGTCTCAACACTCCTCCCCCTCTCCAAATAAAAGGAAGGAGGCTATAGCCTTACAAATGAAGAAACAATGCCAAGAAAATGAGAAGGAACTCCAACCTACTTGGGATTCTGCTGCTGGGGGCACAGAGGTCATTTCATCCTCTAAACTTTCTCCCTGGGCCGCATCAGCGTCCTGAGACAGCAGAACTGTGGAAGGAAAAGAGCCAGAAGGTTTGCATCTCCCCACATACCTCAAACATAAAAACTGCCCACAGACCCACTGAATGTGGCTCTTTCTCCAGTATGTTCACAAGGAAAGCAGCCCAAGTCCTCCTTGCTGAGGACGTGCTGCCTGATGTGTTGCTTTGGGCATTAATATTTCCCAGAGGTCAAAAATCATGTATGAGAGTCTCAGTGCCCATAGCATAGTGGTTACGGCGCCAGCCACATACACCAAGGCTGGTGGGTTTGAACCCAGTCCGGGCCAGCTAAACAACAATGACAACTGTAACAACAACAACAAAAATAGCCGAGTGTTGTGGCAGGTGCCTGTAGTCCCAGCTACTTGGGAGGCGGAGGCAAGAGAATCACTTAAGCCCAAGAGTT